GCACAACTCTGAATACACTAAAAACCACTGACTTGCACACTTTAAATAGGTGATTTATACGGTATGTGAATTACAGCTCAATAAAGCAGACATGTACACCTACGTAAGCAGAACACCTTTTAGACATGCAGAGGGAAGGCTGCGAGCGGTATTAATAGGCTATGAATAGGTTCTTGTTTTTTTCAGCATAAAGGAGAATGAAGGATGTGTGTTGCAGAAAGGAACGAGCCACTAGAAGAGGCTGAACAAGCCATTGAGGGGTGAACTGGTCAAGGAATAATAAAAAGCACAGTATAAAACTTAACTGTAGAAAGGAAGCTCTTTCTCTATGACAGAAGGGAAGGAAAAGTTGGGGAAGCTATTTGAAAAATCATTTAAGGGGGAAGAAGTCAATTACAAAACAGTATCTCCATTTTCTCTGGGAAACAGAATGCCAAGACATCTGCTGAGAGGAAAGGGGCAGAGCGGAGAAAAGGGTTAGGAATAACCCAGCAGGGATGAAACGGGATGGGAAAGAATCTCGGTCCACAAGTGGACAAATATATTCAAGCCTGTTTTACCTTGCTGTCACTGACCAAACCCCAACTAATAATCTAGTGTGGATGCCTTCAGAGTACGGGGCAAAATAAACAATACGTGGAATGCAGTGAAAATAAACGTGCATGAATAGAACAGAAACAGTCCTCTAAATCATTCCTCACCCTGAAAAAGTCCTCCCCTGAGTTCTATAATCTGGTTCCCTATTACTCTTTAGTTATTTTTTCACAGACTCTAAAAAGGCATAAATTTTCTCATTAGCAGTTTGATTGTTATGAAAATGACTGAAAGATTTATGAGCTCCACAAAGTAAAAATCTCTCCATAAACAAAGAGTGTATCAAGGCATTTTAGCAACGTCTTTCAGGAATGTGCTTTAGATATACCATTTTACATGATGAAAGATTAAATGCATTTTTCAACATTTATAACTATGGATACTTACAAGTTGGAAACAACAGTAAAGGTCACTACTCAACTTTTTTTTCACACCGTACAGAAATTCCCTCTAAACAATAATATTGGGTCACTCACTAACCTTCATTAAGATGACCTTACTAGTGAATGAAGTAGCCTACAGCATTGCTGAGTATCAATAACTGTTGTTCTCATTAATTCTTCTATTAATTTTATATTGATTTCCTTCTGTTCTATTCATCTATTATCTGTTCTGTTCATCCACAGAATAATGAATGAATGAACTCTACCTTTCAACAACTCTAGCTCTCACTTAGCTCCTTGAAAATACCTCTCCCTTGTCTACTGATCGCCTTTCAAATATGTGAAGACAATTTTTACATTCCCTTCTATTCTCCAAGGCTGTAAACAAACATCCCATTTCCATAACATGGTTTTTCGTGTTTCAAGATCCTTCCTAAATATTAGCAATCAAAATGGAAAACAATAGTCTTTATATGATCTGGACAGTACATCAGGGAAGGGAGACTGCTGATATTCAGCAACATGTCCATTGAGTGCCCACTGAGTTGCAGCAGGCCTGCAAGCTATGTTTTCTTATCCTCACAATTTATCATTGAGAAAATGGAGCTAAAGAGATGAGAAGCAACTTGGCTAATTCACACAGCTGGTAAATGGCAGAGCCACGATCTGCCACTAGACTAAAGTAGTACTTTACTGCCTTCTCTCAATCTGGACACTACTTTGCTTCTAGGGAACATTACATCTTGGAACCATTTTTGTCAAGTTAGGTCTTTCTCATCTCAAACATGGGCAACTGGGTTTTTGTAAACTCAACCATTCCTGGTAAATTTATATCTTGTTAGTTTGGGCCTATTATTTCAGCCTTTAAGAACTCCTTGAATCCTGAGTGTCATCTAACATGCTAGCTATCACTACAGGTTTTGTACGCATATGTTAATTTAAAAAGCATGCCTCTTATTTTAAAGTTGGTAATAAAAAAGTGCTAATCAGAGTAAGAGCCCTGTAGCCTATCTCTACATATTTCTCCTCATTTAGGCTGTCATCATTCATTAATCAAAATTTCGGTTTTGGTTATTTAAGTGGATACGAATCCATCTAATTAGACTTTATCCAGTGTACATCTATCTATCTGTATCTACTAGGATAGGAAGAAAGATTATGTTCAGTACCCTAAGGAAACCTGAATGAACTTATCCTCCATCCATCATCAATCCAGTACATTTACAACAAAAGGAAGCACGGTTTTAAACCGAAGCTCTGCTGGTTTGAGGGGATCAGCTCTCCTTTCCCAAACATTCACAAACTCTTTTTTTGTTTTCCCAACAAGATTCTAAACTAGATTATTAACAAGTTCTAGCACCCAAGGGCCACCTATTTGCTCTGCAAAAACTGAGACATTGATCAGACTCCAGTGTTCTATCATTAACTGTGCTTTTAGGATTCCTCAAAAGCTCTGAACAATGATTTTACAATCTTATCTGCAAATTCTCTAGCATATAATTTATCTGAGCCTAAATATACAAGTGAGATTTAATCCAATTAGATATTCTTTACAATCTCCCTAATTACCCTGAATGTAATTCTTCTTGATTTGTTTGTCCTTACCCAGTTTTGGAGAAAACAAACAGGAAACGTTTTTTTCTTCCTTCTAGACACTCAGTGAACTCACTGCTTTCAGACATAACCTCCTGAAATGAACTATGGTCATGTGCTACTTAAGGATGGGGAATATGTTTAGAGAAATGCATCCTTAGATGATTCCGTTCTTGTGAACATCACAGAGTGTGCTTACACGAACCTAGGTGGTATAGCCTACTTTACCTAGGCTACAAGCCTGTTCAGCATGCAGTTGGACAAAACACAGTAGCATTAAATCACAGCAATAGTAAATCAAGCACAAGGGAACAGATGTAATCAAGAAGTGGGGTGAAATGGAGACAATAATGCAAACAGGAGACACAGTAAACACGAAATGCATGAGGCTGCTGCCGGCATAACAGGCTTACTGTTTTACAGCAAGTTTTGTCTTTAGTATAAAGGCTACACTCTAAAATAAAATAACAAAAAGTATAGTAAATGTGTAAACCAGTAATAGACATTTACCATTACCAAGTATTATGTACTACACATAATTACATTTGCTATACTCTTATAGGACTGGCAGCACAGGTTTGTTTCCACCAGCATCCACACAAACCCGTGAGTAATGCCTTGTGCTACGTACAACATTAGGACAGCTACCACACCACTCGCAATGGGAATTTTTCAGCTCCACTATCATCTTACGGGACCACCTACGTATATGCGGTCCATCCTTGACTGAAACGTGGTCATGCAGTGCATGACTGTAGCTCATTTTGTAGGCCAAAACTACCAATTGTTTTGACCTTCAATTTTTAGAAATGGTATTTAAAATTTAAGGATCTCCTTAGCAATTAGACGGTTTCTTTATTCCTTGTTAAGTGCAAATTATGTTTTCGAATGAAACAAATGCTAAAAAATGTTTTAGGCATCAACTAATGTGTTTGAAAAATGCATATAATAAAAACAATACAAAAGAAAATAAAACTCTAAAATTAGACACCTATGGTAGTCGCACTGAACAAAACTCCCACAAGCCTGGATAATTATTACATTTATAGTCAAGATTATTTAACAAACAAGCATCCTAGGTACTCAATTTTAACCAAAATGTCTACGAATACTACTACTAGTCGTCCATCCATTCTTCATTCAGCAATACACAAAACTGACCATAAGACACGCAGTATTCTAGGTGCTGGGGATACAAACAGTTCCTAGTAGAGCATTCATTCTAGCAACAACATTCGTACGAACTCTTAATGAATGCCTACAACTGCAAGAGCGATTTAGAGCGAGGTACACGAACATTACCAAAGTTACCTTAAACACATAAAAAGCCACGCTCAACTAACTGCTCTCAGAAGTCGTTCCTAACGTCAGAAGATTTAGCGAAAGCTCCATTTAACTGGCAATCCAAATTCAGGAAGCGTTACCGACCATGCTTTGTGCCGGTAATAGTGTTAAGAGCTTTTAAGAACCTCTAGACTAACGCCCCGACTTTTGAAAGAGCGATTCCTTTAGCAAAACACTAAACCAATCGGGGAGAGAGTCAGTAAGAACGAAGTCTCGGGCAAGAACGAATCTAATCGCGGAAGTACCTTTTCCTTATTATGCCTACCTTATTATGCCTACTTCCTTATTCCTCATGCCTTTTCCTCAACCCTAGTCCCACCCTTGTTACATGGCTCTTGAGGCTCCAAAGTCGCAGTACCCCAAACATGGTACAATACCCAAAGTCCCAGACCTAACCAAGGCTGGGACCGGGATGATGTAAAGTAACTGGAAGATGTGTAGTCAGCGGTCGTGCGGTTAAGAATGTGCATGCGCGTGTTAAGACCCCTGCTCCTTCTCCCCTGCTAGAAAGTTCCCCTCTCTGCAAGGGCCGCCCCTCTCTGCAAGGGCCGCTACCAATTCTAGGGTCCACGCTGGCCTCCCTGCACCGCTCCTGCGCCTCAAATCCTCCTGAAGCCCGTCCCGCAGCCCCGCCATCGCCCGCTAACTTCGATAAGCACTGGGGGTAGCGGAGGAAGGTGGACTCCGGGAAGAGAGACTCCGCCAGCGGATGGAGGTGGTTGGCTATATCCTACTCCGACCTCCAGGTACGCGGGAGGTGGGCGGCGCTGCCCGCGCTCTGTGGGTCACTCACCCCTCGCCTCAGGCAAGCCCCTTAGCGACGTCTCTCCTTGCCGACTGCAGCCATCTTGGACGTTGGATGTCGGGGCATACGTCATCACGCTGCGTCGGCGTCAGAAAACACGCGACGGCACCTGCCAACCAATCAGAAGAAAGTAGAGCTCCTAAAGGAGGAAAGAGCAGCCAGTCTCCTTCCGGCCTCTCCCGCAAGAGGAGGAGCCGGCCAGGGGGTCCCTCCCATCGGTCCCGCCCCCGGAGCGAAGGAAATTCGGGAGCAACCGAACCTGCTAACGGAACTTGGACTCGAGAGGCGGGGCCCGGGGCGCCCGTCCTCCAATCAGTGCCCGGGTGTGGCGCAGTCCCGCCAATTGTGGCCTTGGAGCTGCAGGGGGCCGAGCCGGCAGCTCTGGCCCGGAGAGCCGGCAGGCCCAATGGCTGGGGAGGAGCTGAAGGAGAACGGTAGGGGGGTCGCAGGGCGGGGCTGCGCCATGC